TAATAAAATTCATAGTTTTAAGGTTAGTATAATTTACTAAAAAAATATATAAATTGATGTTTTAATATTTTTGGTCAAATTGGTTTGTTGCAATTAATAAACCAAAAAAGTTCAAATCTTTATGAAAATAATTATAAAAAAGACTGAAATATTTTTACTCACGAACGTTTTTAATTTATTTGGCGGGAAGAAATTGTGTTTGTTAACTTTGTTTTGTTTGATGGCAAAGTCGATTGTATTATAATTTGTGTTGTGTGTATTACATTTTGACAATTTTATTTGTAAATTTTAGACCTCTTTTGATTTATTTGTTAGAGTTGGATGGTATTTATGTGTTGTGATTTGTTATATTTGCGTTGTTTTTAAATGGTCTTTAATATTAATTCTATTTTGACAATCAAATGTTATTTTAAAAAATTGTCATTTCAAAAATTTGTAATGATATTTTGGATATTATGTTTTTTAAATTGTTATTTATAGTATTTGTATTTGTGTTATTGAAATGTTAAATATCCCGTTAAATGAAGTATTTATTACCTATCATTGGGTAAATAAACAACATTTCAATATGTATGTCTTTTAACTATTTTTATTGATATTTTAAGTTATGTATTTGGTTGATTAATTTTATTTAAGAGTGTTAACGTGATAGGGCGTTTCCACACGGAAATGGTGAATCCCTGCGGATTGGATTATTTTGTGTGGATAGCCTCTTATTTTTTTGTCGAATAAACCCAAATATCCGTTTTAAACTATATGTTATGTTTTTTAAAATTAATAATTGTTATTTATGATCATTTATGGGACTAAAATCATACACAAACATAAATACCCCCATAAGGAGTATTTCCAATATTTGCAATAATTTCATAGTAAGAAAAAACGCTATTTTCAGCCTTTTTTGAAGTGGTAAAATAAGAATAGATCAAAATGAACAAATAAAATAACTAACAAAAAAACACTCGTATTATCTCGTTTATTTAATATATGTAACACTATTTTTTCGTTTTTTTTAATTGAAAAAATCATTTCAAAAGTGATTTGTGTGATTATAATTTTGGAAAATTCCCGTTTTTGCATTAAAAATATTTAATTTTAGTATCAATTTTAAATGATATTATTTTATTGTTAATCGTGGCTCAAAAATGCTTTTGTCATCACTTTTTACTAATAGTATTGTAATTTATATAAACACTCCATTAGTTTATTATTTTAATAATAATATTTGGGAATTGAAATATGTTGAATAATGCCCTTTTAGTTGGCGCAAATTATACGTATAAAGACGGGTTTTACATCCTAAATAATATTCTGGTTTTGTTGAAAATGTTAAACATTGAGGTTTTATGTCTAAACTAAACTATTAATTAATAACAATAAATTTTTATAACAATAGTATATTATTAATGAACATAAAAATGACAGAATAATCACAAAACAAATACTATTAACATAGTTAAATAAAATGTAATTTTACTATAAAAACGATAAAAAGTTAAATGGCAAATAATTACATTGTAACAATAAGTTATTTTTTATGTTATTAAAAAATCATAACAACACATATTAACCTTAGAACACTGATTCAAATCCACTTATTTTCTATCCCCTCCCGTTGGGACCAACTGGAAAATACTATTTATTATTTTTTATACAAAAAATAAAATCAACAAATAATCAAAACCACACTTATTTTTATTCTTTACAATTGATACATATTGCGCGGAAGTGTTCATAACAGCACTAAACATCAAATCCTTTATGAAAGCAAACAATCAGCTTCATTGTTGAGACAAGTGTTATTTAATTATCATCCTGAGTGTTCAAAGACGTGTTCTTTATTGAAGTCGGAATCCTTTATTAATCTTATCAATATAGTTTAGTTAGTTAGTTTGGTTTAAATTGATTTTTTGTTAAAAATTATTATATTATATTATTGATAAAATATAATTAACATTAAATGGTTAAATTTTTTGTTAATCATATTTAATCAACATCTGTTTTTTCATAATTAAGAAAGTGGATGTAAATTCAAATCCTATAATTTTTATTATTTTTTCCGGTTCCTCCTTCCTAAGGTTAATTAGAATAGAAACATACGGCAGATACCAACAAAAACCATCAAAAATACAAGTCATGTAACTTATTTTAAACAACACTTTATAATAACAATTGTCTATCTATATTTACCATCCACACCTTTTTAGCCTATCCACAGTAAACTATGCCGTAGTATTTTATGACAAATTATATGTTATTTTATAAATTATTCAATTTCAATAATTTTATTGATTAAATATAGTTTATACAATTAATTAAATAAACTAAAGTTAATTAATAAAAAACTTTAGTATTAAATTTTTTAACAAAATTGTTTTTTTTGCGGCAAATTCGTTTAAATGGTAAAAGGAAAAGATGACTTTTACTAAAAATAAAATTTGTTTTTTCTGTTTTAACTTTCAAAAAATCGCTTTTTTATGAATTCGGTCCAAAAACCCATTTTTTGTAAACTCTTAGGCAAATTTAATTGCAATTACAACAAAAATGTGTAAGATTTTCAAAGCCATCCAAATAAAAGTGGTCTATCACGTTAACACTCTTTAGAGTAAATTTATTTTTTGTCCTATTACTGCTTTTGATTAATCTAATGTTTTTTTAAAAAAATGCCAGATTTTGTAGCTGCTTTATCGGCATAGCCATCCTAATAAACAATAAATTTTTCCCGTTTATTTTAACACTACATTAAAAAGTGTTTATTTGTGGGTTTTTAAACAGAGAAAAAACGCATATTTGTGGGTTTATCATGGAATTGTGAAGTATATTCTTTTCACCATTTTTTCCATTAAAACTCAGTGTTATAGAAAATATAGTAGTTTTTTTAATTATAATAAAACTTTATTATTTTCTAAGTGTATTTAAATTCAAGGTTCGAGAACAAAATAATTATTTGTGGGTTTTGCATTTGATTGGTCCATTGACCCACAAATGAACGTAACCCACAAATATAGAAATTCACATAAAGACGCTTTTTATTGTACAGTCAAGATAAAAAGTCGGATGCTGAGAAAAAGGCGGATGCTAATCTAAATATAAATTTATTTTGGTGTTTTTCATTTTATTAATTATTTGAATGATTATTTATATTAAAATTTATAGTAATTATATAAATAGTAATATAAGTGGGATGCGGGTCTTAAATTAAAACTAAATATTTACTATATTTTATTTAAATGTTTTAACAAACTAATAAATGAAGTTGAAACTCAGAACTGTTATTATCAAATTGAACAACAATATCACCCGTTTGTGCTTTTAAAGAGATTATTTAAGTGTTGGGTCTATTTTATTGATGAAATATATATTCAATTATACATCCACATCAACTAACACATAGAACAGAGAAAGTGGAGGGAAAATGATAGTATTACATTAGAACGACGGAAGTAAAAGAACTCAATTGAAGCTTCTACAAACTTATAAAATATGATTTGTTTGGAAGAGGCAGTATGGTTTTATAATTCAAGGTGATGTCCAAGCTTACTTCTCCAAATCATTCCAAAATATAAATTCACACTGTTTCCATTGTGGAATGGTGTTGTGTGTTGACTACAGACTAAATGATTGTTTAAACTTGTTTTATTTCTTACTACTTTTTATTTAGCAATACAACTGATAGTTTTTTATGTCTGCTTATATTAATGCATATAATTATTTATTCATTGTGCTATATGGTTATGATAGTATTGAAAATAAACATTAAACATATAACTTATAACGTCTTGGGAGAGTTGTCATTCGTCAAGTCAACATCAATATACATTTAAAAATTAATAAATAAGAATTTATCAAAAATGAAAGATATGAACATTAAACTGTTCAACAACAAAAACGAATGATGTGGTTTTATTTTCTGTTATAAAAATAAAAATACTATAAATCAATCAAACTTTTAGAAGTATTAAGAATATTCATTTTTTGTACATATTATTTTTTGTTTGAAAAATAACCAATAGTTGCGAGCATCCGGCTTTTTCTAGCATCCCCTTATTTCCCCCTACTGTATTCACAAAATATAAACTCAAATTATTCCCGACAATCAAAGTCAAATACGTTTAATATTACTTCAGTATTTTGCGATTAGGATGTAATTTTCCAATGTATTCCTCTTTATTTAAGTAAAAAGAGGCTTATTAACACAGAAGGGGTTTGACCCTTTCGGCAATAAAATAGTTTTATGACGTGTCAACCAAAAAAGTTATAATCATGTTTTTAAAAATTTCGAACCATGTTGTAAATAAAATAAACTTCGTTGTTAATAACATTTGATATTTGAAATTAAAATAATTATTTTTATTTTTAATTAAATTAAAAGTTCAATACAAACAAATATCAAATTTTTGTTTGTATGAATTGTTAATTTATTCATAAGTAAACAATGATAAATATCATTGTTTACTTATTTTTATTATACAATTTATTGAAACTTAAGACAAAAGTAAATTGTCTGAAAATCCAAAATTATTTGAGTATATTTAATAAATTATTAAATATTGGTAGTTTATAATGTGCATTATATTACATTAACTAAAATTGGAAAAACTACAATTAAATCCCTCTTAGAACAGATCATTTTAAAAACAAAAGCTTTATTAACAAACGAAATGTAGTGTTAAGACGAAATGTTTGAAAAATTACTGATGGGTTTAATGTTATATAATTGGATCAATAAACGCATTTTCATCTAAAAATCAATTGTAATAAAAATTGTGACAATTCGGGATTTGTTTTATTCTTTGGACATTGAGACAAGAATCATGGAGAATTTAGATTGTTAAAAATACAAAACTTTTGTTTGTATTAAATCCCTCTTTCTAAAACATTGAATTTATATTGTGACATAAACATTTTAAAATAATGAATAAAAAGACTATATTAAAATTAAAACAATTGTTATTATTTTTGAGATATTTAAATGTTTTTGAACTTCAATTTTCATTAAAATGGCGAATATTGTGCTTGACAAATACAAACTTGTGAATACACAAGATCCAGAACGTGCTTACACTTATTTAAATTTTGCAAATCAGATTTTTGAGCAGAAGAGGGCTGACATCCAAAGTGCTGGTAAAGAAGCAGATGTTGAAAAAGTGAAAGAAGACGCAACAGCATTATATCACACCATTTGCGTGAAAAAAGCTGTTCAAGTATTGAAGGGTGGAAGTCCTAAATACAAAACACTTAAAGATGCTATGGCGGCAAACAACTGGCAATATTATCGGATTTATATTGGGATGGTCAAGAACGATTTCACAAAAGAGTTGGTCAGAGAAGAAAATGTCACTGTTGTTTCTTTAATAGATGAAATTATTAAAGATAGTCCAGACCTCGAAGAGTTCATCAAATTTTACACTGAAACCAATCACGAAGAAGTCATAGAAAACTTAAAGAAAGAAGAAGCATTCAATAACGAAGAAAAGAAACAAATAAATTTACTCAACCAAATGAAAAATATTTATTCATATGATGGCTTTGCAAAACAACTTGAAACATTTAAAACGACGTGTGAAGAGATGAGTGAAGAATATGAGAAGAGAAATATTTCTCATGATGAAGATATCAAAAACGCTGAAATTAAATTGAGACAATTCGCAGTCGAAAGTGTGTTTAAGACTCAATTTGCGTGTTTAAAATCCAATTTGACAAATCATTTACAAAGAGCTAAAAATAAACTAACTGGTCTTGAAACAAGTCAAAAAAATCTTGAACTGAGCATGAACAAAGTTATTATAAAATCATTACCGGAGTCTTCGTTTATGGGTATGAAAGACGAACTTTTACAACTCAAACCCGAGGCTCAGATTATTTTTGATATGTATGATGAAATGATGGGCGGAAGCACTCCTATTATTCAAGAAGTAAAGAAAGTGGAACAAAAAGTCCAAACACCAGCTACCACCCAAAAAGTTGTTCCAAAAGTCGAGCCACCAAAAGTAAAACAAACTGTAACTCCAAAAATTGAGCCACAGAAAACAACTCCACAAAGTGTTCCAAAAGATGAAGCACCAAAAGTGAGTGAAGAATTCGACACAAAAAGAATTGCTAAGGACTTTGTTGCTCAACTTGAGAAAAGTCGGTTTGTTGACGAGTCAAAGAATCTTGAGAAATTCAAAGTTGCAAGAAATTTGAATATGTTTGTTTCGACTTATTTCAAAGTCGAAAGGATGTTACTTGGATTTACTGTAGCTGAACCAAACTTTTGTGCACTGGAACTCAAAAGTGAGATAACTGACATCAAACCAGCTTTCTCTGAGTATTTTGAATACTTTGAAAACATGAGTATTGTCGATGAAATAAACGAAATACAAAGTTATTCAGAAGCAAAAGCAACTGAAGATGTTTTGAAAAAGAGTAAAGACCAAGTCTTGATGTCAAGAGACTTTTTGACTGCAATGGAAAAGGTCAAATTGTTCAATCAAGAGATTTTGAAGGACAATGGCAAAATGTCCAAATTCAACATGACTGTGAAAACAGAGGAAATTGAAACGAAGTTGAAAAATCTGTTTTTGGATGAATTTGTTCAGCAAATAACAGGAAGTTATTTCACAAATTTCACAAATGTTCTGAAAAGGGGTGATAATGCAGAGGTGCTAAAAATCAGTGGAGATGTCGATGAAATTTTCAACAAACGACGTGTTGATGGATATGAAGAGAATGCGTTGATGCTGAGGAATGAAATTGAAAATTACAAAAAGGAGACAAAAACAACATTCAGAAATTTTGATGAAATCAAAACGAAATCAAAGGAGATGCTTGGATACTGTGGAATGCCAAAAACTGAAATCCACGATGACAATTACAATTTGGGGCTTTACAAAAAGGAATTTGACTTTTCAAAATATGTTGAAAAGCAAATAGAAAGCAGCGACACAATAGGCAAAATCAAACCAAACTTTGTTTATCGAAATACACAAAAGAAGTTCGTTGAGAAGTCCAAGTTAAAAGATTACATAAAAATTGTTCAAATTTGTGACAAATTGTGGAATTTATCGGGAAATGTTGTAACGTTTAATCAAAACTTGAATATTTTAAAAGAGAGTTATGAAAGCCAAAAAGAATATTTTGAAACGATTGACAGAGTAAAAGAAGTTGAATTTATGATCAAGCAAATGGACGATATTTTGGAGATTCAAATTGTGATGAAGATGTTTGACAAGATGAAAAACATTAAATCGTTAGCTACCAATTTGGAGACTTACACCAGAAATGGGCAATCACAATACATTGAAAAGATCAACACGGATATGAGAAATGCATTGAGCCAACAAGTGATATTGGAAAAAACACCAGAAGATTACAAAGAGACAATTCTGAAGTATTCGTCATGTTGGGAGCTGTTATTTAACACAAAGAGTGACGACGAAATCCAACAACTCAAAGAAAACATCGAAGATACAAAAGCTATTGAAAAGATCAAAAGCACTGTCAAAAACACGATGCAACGATTGAAAGGGAATTTCAGTATCGACGTCATCAAAGATGGAATTGCCAAACTCGACGAAACAACAGAAAACGAGAATGAATTATTACAGAAATTTGACTTGAATTTTGAGAGTGAGAGAAAAACACTTGAACAGTCTATAACTGGTGTTATAATAAGAAATTGCCAAAAAACACTCATTGATGAAATTAGGAAATATTTCTTAAAGTTACAACCAAAGAACACAAAGGATTCGTATGTCCCAAGCATCACCATCAATTACATCAAAGAACTTTTAATGCAAAATTTGACGTTCTCTGAAAGTCCAAATGAAAACGACACAAAAATACTTGCTGCTGCAAAAGCCATTGGTGACATCTTTTGTACTGAGATTTCTGGAGTTCCAAGTGCGATAGCCAACAGCTATGAGAAAATAGTCACTCAGAACGCACAGCTGTATTTACTTTTCGAGTTTGTAGAGTTGTACAGAAGTTCAAAAAGAATTGTAATAAATGGTACTTTGATAACAAACAACGAGAATGACACACCAAACACATTTGATGAAATACTTGATTCGTTGTATTCAAAAGAAATGTTCATTTACATCACTGAAAGCGAGAGCGGCGTTCTTTCGTATATCAAACTGAACGAAATGAAAAGAATTTTGGAGAACAACACAGACATCTTGAAAGAGAAGGGCGTCTTTTCTCAACTTGAACAAATGGTTGCAACGTGTGAAGAAAAAGTGAAGAAGAATATATCCAAAGTACTCTGTGAGTGGTATCTGGTGTTTGTGGGACAGCCAATTAAACAAGCAGAAGCAGCCAAATTTGCTTTTGACTCGTCCAAATTCACAGAAAAACTGAATGAAGCCAAAGAGAATATGAACGGTCAAGTGAATGGAGTCGATGGTCTGTATTTCGTCGATTATTTGGATGAAATGAAAAACACCAACAGTAGTGTGTGTGAAATAGCTCAATTGTATGATGATAACGTTAAAAATGAGGGGGGTCATACCATATTAGTCAAGAATAGAGAAAAAGCAAATGATAATAACAAATTGTATGGAGCTTATATTACTAATATTGAAAACAGTTTACACTCCAATCCGGTGAAAGCAAGAGAATATTACTTAGAAGCCCAGAAGATATACACTCAAAACAAAAAGTTGTTTGATGAAGCCGAATACTTTTATGAAAGTGATTTGGTGGAACTGGACAAAACAATAGAAGAAGCTTGTTTCAGTCTTATTGTATCAAAAGCTGAATATGCAAGTGAATGGATGTATACTTTTAATGATGAAGTTGCACAAGAATGTGAAAGTAAAAAGGTTAGAATTGGTTTTAAAAATGTCACTGAGACGCTTGCACTAATAGAGAATGAAACGTATTATCCATTCAGTTGCAATACTTTGAGAGACAGACTTGTTCAAACAAATCCAAAGTATGAAGAAGTTTTTAATTTTGTCGAAACAACACAACCACAACTCGACGCTATTTGCGAAAGACTTGACTCAATCAATTTAAAAAAGAAAATTGAAAGAGACCGACTTAAGAAAGAAAAAAGAGAAAAAGAAGAAGCTGAAGAAGCCGAAAGACAATTAATGGCAATGAAAGTACTTGAAAAAAATAATGAAGGTTTATATTTGGAAAACTTGGCCAATTTCCTTGAAAGAGAATTTTCACATGAAAGTCCTTCGTTCATTCATCCATATTCGAAAATAGCAGTTATAGTGAAACAAGCATATCTCTTCACTAAAACGTTTGTATCAGTCGACAACAAAGATATTCTGCGTATAAAAAGTCTTTATGAGAACATCAACAAAATAACTCTTGAAAACAATTTTAGCTTCGATGAAATCATTTTGTTGTTGGGAGCTGAAAGTGCGACGTATTATTCTGAAAATCGATACAGTGATCAACATGATATTTTTAATAATACTATTCATAAGACTAAATTTGAGAAAATTATTAAATTGCTTGAAAACAACAAACGAGACACGAAGGAATTGAAGAAGAAATTCATGTTGGCAAGAAGCAAAGACAAAAAGCCTGAAGAAATTGAAAAGGAAAACGCACTTATGGATTACAGAGAAATTAATTTCCAAAGTCATTTCAAAAATTATTTCACAGAAGACAACGAAGATGAAAATCCTGAGATGGTCACTTTGATGAAAAAGTACTTCAACTTCTGCTACAATGGAAATTACACATTCACTGATAAAAACATTGAAATTGTTAATCATCTGAAAAAGGACTTTTTAGAAAAGTTGGAGACCGTCTTTGGCTTACAAGAGGAGGGTTACTACGATGAAGCCAAAAATTCACTGAAAGATGCGTTGATCGCAAAGATCAATTTGGTCGAATTTTTGGATTTTGAAAATATAACGAATGATGATGAAAAGTTATTTAAAACATCTGAATTTATATTGAAAATGAAGAAGATTTTATATTCGCTTGGAGTTGCGTTTGAGTTCTTTGACTTAAAATACAGTGACCTCCCAAAAGTTCTCCAAGATGAAATCAAACTGTACAATTCAGTGATGATGATCAAGGCGTGCAGTGTAGTTCAATATGTCAAATTTATGAATACTCTTGACAACGTCCATCAAGTGTATTTGAATTACAACAACAACTTGGTACTCAAACTGCAATCAGTCATACGAACATTGGCAACACAAGATTACGATATTACACACGACCCAATAGTCACTGAATATGTCAGACAGTCAATGACTGAAACTGTTGTGGATAAGAACAACTTAGTGTTGTATGAAAGTGAGTCAAAGTACACTGAAAACATGTTGAATATGTACAAGCCGATATTATCAGATGGAGTCTCTCTAACATCGTCGAAAAACAAATTGTTCACGTTGAATGCTGTCTCACAATTTTTGCTCTCCAATTACGCGTTCTTTGATGAGGTCACCGAATTTAGTCGCAATGTAAATGCAACACTATTGAACAAAGAGAACTTCGGCTTCATTCCAAACATTTTCAATTTAATCACATCAACTGTAGCAATCGTTAACAGAACACCACAAAGCGATGTGTCATTCATTAAATCTTATAATTATTCGTATAAATACAAATCACACTTCACAGAAGAAATTGAAAGTTTAGAAAAAATGGAAGAGAAGATGTCATACAACTACAGAGTTTTACTTATTAACACAAACTATTCAATAGTCAATTATTTGTTATGCAAAAATTGGAGTAGTCAATATGAGTACAACATCTTAATGATTAACACAGAAACAGATGGGTACTCCAAACCAAATTTTGATTTCAAAGCGAATGATGACTATGTTAATGAAACACATATGAAATGGATTTTTGACAACTTTGGTATGAACTCAAACAAACGAAATTATGAAATACAATTGAAAAGTTGTGTGAATGCAATTTCTGGTATTATCTCATTTGCTGGATACCAACTTGACAGACCAAAAGTATTCCCATCACTCAACTATTTTGGAGCAGCTGTTCCTATATGCAAATACACTGAGCATCTTTCAACACATGAAGTTGAGAATAAAATCAATTCTTCTGTGTTCGTTGAAACATTTAAAGATCACTTAAATTGGTTATTAACACAAAAGAATTTGTATGAGCAAAACAGTATCATGTCTAATGCTATTTTTGATTTACTTAAGACACGAGTGACTAAATGTTTTGAAGAAATTTGTTTGCCCCCACTTAATATATTAAAGACCAATTATGAAAAGAAAAGATATGACCAATTTGTTGGGATATATGCAGACTGTGTTACATTAAGTGGCAATGATGAATCTTTCGAGGTGACTAAAACACCAAGCGGATTTGAAGTGAAGGCGAAACTTCCTGGAAATGCCATTGGAAATCATTTGACGTTCAAGTACATTTTCAACAAAATGTATGATAAAATGAATCTTGTTTTCGACCACGGAAAATGTGTGAAGAATGAGAACAATGTGTTTGTGTGGACTTATAAAGACTATAAAGCATTTGATCATACCGAAGAACTAAATCATCAATTCGATCAAAAGGACATTAACCTCCCAAAAGACTTAATTGTCATGATATCTTATATTGGTAAGATGGAAATACATTACCCTCTTATTGAACAAAAAGTCCAAGATGATATCAACAATGAAAGAATGATGGAAGAGAATGATAGAATTAGAGAAATGCAAAGAAGAGATACTGAAAGGCTTTTGTGGGAACACAAAATAAGGTTTTACTAATCAAAACAATAAATCAGTTTCTATTTGATTTTTAATTGATTTTATTTTATTGAATAATATAATACCTATTTGACTATAGAATTTATTTATATTATAACATTATTAACAAATAACTATACTTTAATAAAAAACAAATTGACCAATCCACGTGGATGGACCACAAGAGTTCAAGTGATTGGCCATTTTGATTTTGAAAGCCAGTGATGGGTATATAAGGCACACTGAATTGCAACACGACAATGAGTTGTGGGTGTGAGAAGAAGTGCAAATGTGAAGGCAGTGAAGCGATCACGTGGGTGCTGCTGCCAAGATGGGAAGTGCTGCTGTGACTTCAAATGCAAATGTGGTGCTGAAGGGAAGTGTGAGTACTGCTGTTGCTGCAAAGAGGGAAAGTGCCAATGCAAGACATTTGCAACTGGGATGACCATCACCTGTGAGTGCTGCTGTGAGGGATGCAAATGCACATGTGAGTGCAAATGTGGAGAGAAGAAGGTGTGCCAATGCCAGAAAGAAGCATCAAGTGGGTGCTATTGTGGAAAGACATGCTAAGTCACTCTTTTCATGTTTATTTGTTTGAAGTGTTGTTTGTATAATTGTTGAATAATAAGATAAAAAAATAATAAATGAAAGGATGTCTGAATTCTAATATGAGTGCGATGTTAAATATTATAAGTCTCGAACATGATTTAAGTCATTTATTATTTGTCAAACTGTGAGTTCATTAAAGCTTCAGTCAAGAGGATTGGGTGCTCTTCTGGTGTAATTTTATGTCCTTTTTACAAAAATGTGATGTCAAATTTTTTTTATGTTGTCTTTATTATTGATAATTTTGTTTCAATCAAGTAATAATTCAAATTTTCCCTTTAACATAAATGCACAACAATTGGTATTGAAAAATAACGTACTTTCCTCACTCAAATTGTAATAAAATTGATTATTCATTGGAATTAAAAACATTCAACAAAAAACTTATGAAACATCCATCAAAATACAAAAATACAACAAAACAGCATATAATTATAAGAGTGCATTAATATTTGTAGTCCACAATAACCTTTCTTTAAGTCCATAACACGACAAGTGTATAACTGCTTCGCCTGACTTTATCATAAACATATTAGACACGTAAGGCGTATCAACCACATTTTTAATAGTCACATTGTTCAAGTAAAACCTCGACTCTTCTTCAAAGATGTATTTTTTAAGACACTCCACATTCTTTCCACTTGGCACGTTTTCAAATTTCATCATCAAGTCGACGTCGTCACTTTTATTAGGGACCATTGCATTAGCGACAATGAAAACGTCATTGAACAAGAAGCACATTCTCCAGTCGTTTTTCTCCTCGACGATTTTGAGTGGTCCAAAGTGGACCAACATTCTGTCCTTCATGAAGACGGTTTTTTGTTTAAACAATGTTTGCAGTTGATACAACGAGTTCGACATTTCAATCGTGTTTTTACTGATTTGCAATTTCTTATTCAATTTGTTCAAGTTCGTATAACACGACGTCAGCAACGGGTATTCACTGCTTTTGTTATCAATCGCTCCGAGGAGGTTCTCGAAGATCTTCGGATACTTCAAAAACCTGTTCACCGGTGCGTCCAAATACGCCGTGACGGGTAACAGTTGGATGTTTCCGTTCTTCGCCGTGTACTCTGCCAGTAATTTACTCTGCGCCTCTTTGAAATTGAGACCCATACAATTCTCGACGACCTCCGACCGGTAAATGAATCGCGAGGTGATGTACGGGATGTATATCCGCATCTCCTTCACAGACGCTCTAATGATCTCCCACATGTTACTTTCTTTCAATTGGAGTGCCCTTGATATCTTCCTCTCGAGTGCCATTATACCCGGAATAGTCTCATCAAGTTTTTTAATTGCAACTGAATTAGTGTTTTGACTTCTTAGCGGTGATATAAAGAGTTGCGTGAGGATTTGCAGTTGATCGTAGTATATCCGTTGTGTCGAGGAAAAGTCTGTCAATAGCGCTAAATAAAGCTCGTGATTCGATTTAGCTTTTGGAAGTTCACAACGGACTTGGTCAATCCCGTCCAGTGGTTGTAAAGTTGACACGTCGGAGTCGGACTCCGAAACTTCGGAGATTTCAGAGTACTCAAATTTGGGTTTTGGTTTTGCTTTGAAATTTAAAAAGCTCTTTTTCGTAAAGTCCGTCTTGTTTTCTAATATGGTTTGCCACCTTTTAATAATTTTCGTCTTAATTTCTAATGGGTTGTCTTCTATTAAAGTGAGTAAAAAGTCCATTGAAGCATCCGCACATTTTATTGGCTCTTCACAAATTCTTAAATTATCAATTGCTTGATACTTATTTTTGTTCTGTAGTAAATCTTGAACTATTTCGTTTTTCCGTTGTACTATTTCTTCCAGTACAGTGATGTACTCTTGCATTTCTATAACGTCTGGAAACTCTATTCTGTCTGCCATTCGTTTTCTCTTATAGAGTTCGTTTGTTCGAGGTGTGAGTGGCAATAGGTCTGGGCTTGCAGAAAGTTGTTTCATGGTTTGGAATTATTGATTGTATCGCTTTTTCAATTATACAAAAATATGAATCAAATATATTTGTTGTTTGTTATTGATTTTATTGACTCTATTCTATATATGATTGTTACTAGTAATTTGGGTATTTAAATGTTATAATGACTGCATCTTATGAACACTTTCTAATGTATTACGCAATAAATACTAACATTACAAATTATTGCTATTAAATATACTAATTATTAAACTAATAAAGTTATTATAAAATAGTAATTTAAAAATAAATGGTAAATAAAAAAATGAAAAACAATTGTTCTTTATTTAATTGGTTTTATTATTTAAATACTATAATTTTACTAGTGTCTGACATGTTATTTTTTTCCAACTTTTGTAAAGAAATACACCTCCAAAAAACTCATTTGTCTAATTCAATATTATTAAATTACTATTACATTAATATATTATTACTATTAAATTTTTAAAATAAAAAGAATTGTAAATTCAACAAAATTACAATTAAATAGTATAATAAATAGTTTTTTAATTATTTATTAAAAAATTTATAGAGTCAGTCGATAAAAGTTGTCTGTTCCCCAAAGGTTGTCTTTTTGACAAAAAATAATTGACTTTTGTTTAAAAAAACGGGAATTAGGTAAAAATGAAAAAAAACTGGGAAAAATATTGAAACAATGATTTTTTAGTTTTTCAAAAAAATTCCCGAAATATTCCATTTATAATGGTCTAAAAATCGGCAGACAACGTTACAGACCAGACAACGTTTAGCAAATGACTCTATATTTCATACGTTAATTTGTATATACACATCAACACACTCGAATGAACCTTAAAACTAGTTTAGAACTAATTTAATTTAGTAATTTTTGGTTTGTTAGTTAAGTGACTTAAAAGTGTCGTCAAAAACTCCTTCATGACTTTACAGTCGATGTATTGAGGAGTTGTATCTTTTTTGAACTTAATGACGACATGTTCGTCGTCCACACAAATAATTTCGTCGACGTTTTCATATTCAAAAACTTCTCGAACCAAACATGCCTCATCCAGTCGGTAGAACTTAGTTTCCGTGAGTCGAAAAATTCTGATCTGATGTCTTCCATACCAATTTGTTCTCATCACATAAAAGTCGATGTCGCCGTCTCTCTTTTCCAATTTTTCATTTGGCTTCTCACCAACAGTTTTTGAATAGTCGACAAACCCTCGCAAGACCCATTCGAAGACGTTCAACCACCGATCTCCAAACGTTAAGGTGTATGCCTCAGGAACATTTAATTCAACCATTTCACTCTCTTCTAAAACACCTTTCTCATTCTTTTGTTGATTCTCGTAATCTTCTATGATAATCATATCAGTCGGGACTTCCTCTTCTTTACCATAATACGACCCACTCAACTTTAATAAAGTATCTTCTAATGACTTTTCATTAGTTGGGCGAATCGAAGACGAAAGCGGCGATTTGTGTTCAACTGGACTTTTTTCTTGAGGAACATTTGGCGACACAGACTCACCTTCAGGAAGGAGTGCTTCTTTAGTGGTAGGACTTTGGCTATTCTCCGAAGTACTTTCGCTCTTCTCGGGCTTCTCGACATTCTCAACTAGTGGACTTTCGATTTGTGTGTTTTTTTCTTCGACTTTTTCGTCACAAATTTCATTGAGGTTTTCGACATTTTGAGTTCTATCTAAATTTTGAATATTTTTGAGTTTACTTCCGTTCTGTTGATCTTTTTGAGTTTCAGTGTCTTCTTTGTCTTGCACATACTCTTCCAAAACAGGTGGATTAAAATCAAATTGATCCTTCTTGACAGACCCTTTTTTGTTTTTCTTTTTATTCTTTTTGTTCGGGTTGTTCATCAATATCAACTGAAATATCCCTTCCTCTATTTGTTGTTTAACAAACTCGACATCTCCATAATAATTTCCCCACAAGAACAAAACAGGACATTTCACATTCTTACTCGAAAGGTATGCTGTCATTCCTTTATCTGCATGAATGTCATATAATGAAATGTTGTTTCGAGGCACTCGGAATTTCACAATCAGTAAAATAAGCTCTGCAATATCCTTCTTTCCCTCATCGCCGTCTATCAAAATGGCGTATTTATTTATTCGCATTTTTCAATGCTTTTTTTTCAGTTCATTTCGTTAAATTGAAAAATTCAAAATCGACTCTCCTTCAATTTCAATTCATTTTTTCTGCCTTCCCATTTTTTTAAAATAATTCATACAGTAATAATTTCACCCGTCATATACTGATATGATTAACAATTTTCTATATTATTGTTGAATAAAAGACTCTATAACTACTAAATTAACTATTGAATTAACATTTATGAATACATTTACTAATAAAATATAGTTATAAGCCGAAATAAATTTTTATAGTTTTGTATTAAATATTATACTTTAATAATAAACCAAAGAATTTATAAAAAATTAGTGACAATACGCCTTGAGTGCTTTGATAAGTTCCAAAAATCCATCGAATGTTTCTGGGTCTGACAACATAATGTTACAAAGCATTCCATATTTGTAAACAAATTGTAAAGACGACTTACTATCCGTAATATTTGTCGCATCTATCTTAAAAGAAGTAATATCATCAGAGTCAAGTTCAATCACCACCTTTTTTGTGCCTTGTTGGACCAACAAAGTGGGCACCCCTCCCTCTTTTCGTTATTACCACATAAAATCGTAAATAACGAGGTTTTTAATTTAACGTGTGATTTAATTAACGAACTTATTTTTATATAAAAGTGGTACTTCGTTAAATAATTTGTTTTAAAATGAGCTCGTTAATTGTTTTTAAATTGTTGATGCAAAAGCTCGTTAAATATAAAATTGGAATATCCAATTTTATGAGTTAAAATAAAGAAAAAGGAATACTCAAATCAACAAACCAATACACAACATAATCTTACCTTTCTTATTTACAACTCTTTGTCCATCCCTGCCTGGGTAATCGATCATGATTGAGCATTCAGAGTAGGGATTTGACATTTCCTTTGTTATTTCAAGTTCATTACTTAAACCTATATTTATAGTTATTTTTACTATAATTAGTAACTATTCCGATATATTCAATTTGACACTTTTAGAGTAGTACATCTCACCATTTGCGCTCTCGCTACTTCAAATAATACATCCACGATAACACGATGTTTATGTATTAAACAATTGATGTGAAACATTCACTTTAGAGTAGAATATATATGCAGTGAGTAAACCCAAAAATGCATATATTTATAGAACAAAACAATGCTTTTTTCTTTCGTTTTTCTGGTTCGACTGGTTTCTTCCATTTTTCCAAGGAAATCCAAGTTTCAAAAAGTAACTATTCAATTCACACTGAATAGTTAATGACTCAAACACCGCAAGACGTCGAGCTTGAGTTGAACACCAAATCAAAGGCAGACTCCCAAGAATCAAGTCAAAGTTTTTCTTCTTTGGGACATGAGGGGTCTCAACAATCGAAGAAATCAGATACTAAAGAACCAAAAGATATAGATATAGACGCTGACAAAGTCAAAGAAATTGAAAATGAGGCGAACAAAGACTCTAAAAGTGGGTCTGACACATCAAAGGAACCTTTAAAAGGTGAGACTAAAAAGACGGAGTTAAAGTCTATTGACAAAGAAGACTACAACAATGAAGAAATCTCAGAAGAAGACGTCGAGCCATTTGTCGAAGTCGAATCCGTTGATTCTGCGCCAGACGATTTGATGTTCGCACATTTAAAACAGCAACTTTGGAAGACGGTCTTAGTATGCGTGGGACCATTTCTTTCAACTCTTATCATTGGAACTATTATCACGGGGTCTTACCACCCCTCAAAAGACGCTCAAACAAAATTTTATAACAAAATTGGAGAGTTCGACGAACGTGCAAACCTGTTATATGCGTTTTTCTTTTCGGGAATATTACTCGGCGCTATTCCAGAAATTATAAAATCAATTGCTCGAAAACAGAAGCCATTTGTCTTCTGTTATCGAGTTCTCTGTGGCATCATATTCTATTCCTTTAGAGTTTGTTATGTATTAGTATATTTTATAATAAATTTATTTATTAATACTAGTAAATATACATGTATTATAATTTATAATATTTGTTAATATTATTATTAATAAACATTAAATATAGTATATTTATAATACTTTTTATTATAAAATATTAAAATTTATAATAAAATTATTATTATGAGTAAATATATTTTAATTGTATTAAAATTATTAACTAGTAAAGTTATTATAAATTGTAAATATTTTAAATGCTATATTATATAATACTTTTTAGTATAAAATTAAAATATTAAATTACTAAATTATTAAATTATAAAATTATAAAATTATTAATACAAAGGGAGTTATTGAACATATTTGGCTTAGATTAATGTATACAGCTTTGAAAAATGTTGATGACGTGACACTACGTCGGATTAGTTTGGTTATTATTGACCAAGCCTCTTTTTCTTTAGTATTCAAAATACCATTGGACGCACTCTATTTGACCTATTCAAAATATTCGAACCCAATCACTTTTTACAAACAATTTTCACTTAAAACATTCATTTACGACCAATTCACTACTACTCTGGTTGCTAATGTAATATGTTGGATTCCAGGAACAGCGTTTTTCTATACAGTCGAACACTTACTTTGGTTCCCTTTCAATTTACTTCTCTCATTTTTCGACTTACTCATCATTTCTATCGAGATTGCTTTGCTTGAAAAATATACTCACAACAAAAATACTCAGAAAGTCGAGTGACGCACAAAAATAATTTTTATTGAAATTTTTAAATGTTGTGTTTCTTTTTGCTTGTGTCGTCGATCTTTTTGTCTCAAATTGTTCGTTTTGTAATTTTTTTAATGAATTCTTTATCATAACGAAATAATTATTTAACGAGTTTATTTTCTTATTATTATTGGTTTCATTTAATACTTTTTAATTTTTTTTTGTTTAATTAAAAACTTAAATAAAATATTATTAATTACAATGTTAATTAAATTAAAAAAATGATAAATAACTCGTTATTTAAGAAATGGAGTTTTAATAAAATAACATAATTAATTGTGTTTGAGTTAATCAATTTTTAAATAATAACTATAGTTAATTGATAATTTTATTATAATTTATAATTAATTTTTTTGATTTGATTAACTTTAAAAGTGTTTTTTTATTGTAATCTTCGTTTATTTTAAACCAAAATTAAAAAAGAAAAAATTCGACCGAATAAAGACGAAATATAATGAAATATTTCTAATTAAAGAGGCTAAATACTCAGGAAAAATTTGGTTCCTTCATTCCCACAGTGTCACATATGTTTTTAAAAATTATATTTTATAATTATTTTTATTAATGTATATAGTTTATATATCTGTTGTCAAATTCTTTTCCAACACTACCCGAAAAACTAATAAAAACCCCTACAATTCTTCGTTTTGTACAAGACGTGGAAAACATGGTATTTTCAAAAAAAAATACAACAAATCTCGACCGACGTAATAAGAATAGATACACATATTGAAACGAACTATATACCATACTATACCAAATTATAAAAAATAGTAAAGCCCCAATACTAATTGTTTTACCAAAATAGTGTTTTTTTGTTTGAGTGAAAAAATGGAGAAGACTCAGAAATCAAAGGTGTCACTGATGAGTGAGATTAAACGACAGATCAACAATTTGCCCAGTAATTTTGATGTTCTCAAAATCCGCCGGATTTTATTTGCAATGTTAGAACGGATTGAAGAAATTTCCGACGATATAGAAAACACAGACCAAAAATATTTGGGAGACTTAAAAACGGTCCCGGCAGATTCCGGGACGGTTCAAAACGAAGAAGGAAAAGTTGAAGCCAAAGTTGATTCCAAAGTAGACTCCAAGGAATTTTCACACAAAGAAAAAGAGCGACTTGGTGATGACGAAGAAGAGAAGGCGATGCATCGTTCTCGAACAAAAACGAGTCAATTACGCAACATAACCACATACGATCCATATAAGCCTAAATCGCATCAAAGTTCTGTTGCGTCGAATTCGACGCGCCCGCGCAATTTAACTTTTGCGGACCAAGAGGAGATCATTACGAAGAGTACAAAGCGAGAGACAACAGAGAATCAGTTTCGGATGTCGATGGCGAAGAACTTGCCGATCGTGACATTAAAATTGCCACAAAAGGATCAAATGTTTTGTGACTTAATGGAGAAACACTTCAAAGCGTTACAATTTTGGACTAAATTGAATCACTTCACTCTCATCTACGACTCACATAAGAACAAATTCAAAAGATCTTCTGTTCAAAAGAAGATGTTTGAGAAAAAGAATATCATGGGGGTCATATTCACAGACGACGACGCAGTCTTCGGCTCTTTCCATGCCGCAACGTTCCCGAAGAAACCTAAGAAAGCCTTTGTGACTGTTAAAGACACACAAATGTTCGTGTTTTCCTTGGAAAACCAAAATCGATTGCCAGCGCCGACTAAATGGAAAATCAAAGCGGACTCCCCGGGAGTAGACTGGACCGTCTCGTTGTATTCAGACAAAGAAAAAGACCCGTCATTCTATAATGTATATCAATGCTTCAAATTGGCACCACCCCTTCACGCACATAACTCAACACTTTCTCAAGACTTTAAGACAGAGTACGAGAATGGGACCGATGTCAGTATATTCACAGGAAGCAAAGAGAACTTCGCCGTGAAGCGCCTCATTTTTTTGGAATGGACTGAATAGCATTTTTAATAGAATTTTTTAATTGAATAAATTAGAAACTAATATTATTAATTAACAATACTAATAAATTAATTAGTAGTATGAAATTAATATAACGAATTAATACGAAACTATTATAAGTGAAACTAGTAATTGTAAAGAATTCAACTATGGAAGGGAAGTCTAATGAAATGGACGAGAACGGAAATTCATACCTCCATTTGGTCTTTCAAAAGAACTCGAAAAACAATGAAGAAGAGAGACAGTCGATTATAGGCCAAGTCGTTGATACGAATCCATCGCTCTTTACTATTAAAAATAACTCACAGGAATCCGTTCTTGACTTGATTGTGAAACATCACCCAGAACATATCCCTTCTGTCATTCAATTGTTCCATTTCGACTCGTCTATACTACACCTCCTCTCTTCTGCAGATAACCCAATGACTTCATTCCTCGCATTCTCAAAGGCAACTGCACAACTTCCACAATATAAAGTCTTGTGCATGGGACCTCCTCTCTTTGATATACCAAAGGTGAGGTGGTTCTCTTCAGAAGATCGCCAAGACGCCGAGTTTTATACGGAATATAACAAGATAGTCTCCCGGTATACCCCGACAGGAATTATGGTGTCCACTCAAGACATTAAAAACTCGCGATTTGAAGGGAAGTACCGCATCATATCATTAGACGGGGGAGGGGTGAAGGCATTGATGCAACTGTATATCTTACAACGCCTTGAAGAGAAATTTCCGGGCTTCTTAGCGCGAACGGTGTTGTTTTGTGGAGTGAGCGCGGGGAGCATCTTGTCGACGCAATTAGCGCAGGGGTGTGATGTCCCCACAGCGATTCAGTTATTTGAGTTAGTGTGTAAATACATCTTCATAAGAAAGACGTTTGGAGGGGCGTATGGGTCTTTGTATACGAACAAGTACATATTAAAATACTTAGAAATGTTCTATGGCAATAAGACGCTCAATGAACTCCCAAGAAATGTCTTTTTCATCTCCGTCTGTGCCAAAGAACCTCGTGTGTCTTCGGTCTTATTCAATAACTTTACACCAGAGTGCGGTGACATTAAAGTGGTGGACGCTTGTATGAGGTCTTCGTCAGCTCCTATCTTCTTCGATTCATATGAGGGCTATTTGGATGGAGCACTCTTTGAAAACAATCCGGTGACGTGTGCATTCCCTATGTTGTTTGGAAAGACGGGAAATGTGAATGTACGTCCACAAGACGTCGTGTGCTTATCGATATCAACTGGAGCACCTAATGTTCCTTATATCTCTCAAGAAGAATATGGAAATGCCGGCTTCTTAAAATGGGCCCCACGAACCTTGGATTTATTCCAATATTCTCGAGTTTGTTATTATTTATAGTAAATTAATTATAATATATACTATTACTCTTTTCTATTTTTAATTTAGTATATTAATAATATATTTATTAAAAGTAATCGAGTTTTAATACTCGAGTTATTAAGTATAGTACCTATTAGTATTGAATATAGATTGATTTTGATTATTATTATTATTATATTATTATAATATAATAATCTATTATAATATAGATTAAATAACACAACAGAGAGACATGAGTAACACGATTGGGAAGGAACTATTGGGGGAGAGATACTTCCGGTTAGATCCTAAAATGCCGAATGGGTTGCGAATTAATAGTATTTCCGAATGTGAGAAAATCATAGACTGTGGGAAGAACATAGACTTGACATCTCTTGAAGAATGGGTGAAGGAGTATTGGATGTAATTGGATATGGAACACTGCACAATAGCAAGTAGAACAGGACCAACTGAACAATTAATAAAACATTTTGCTTGAGAGTAGTGACAGTTTTGTTTTGTTTGTGATGAAGTCTTTAGGGCAGAAAGTAGAGTATAAAGAGTGTACGGACGGTGGTAAGATTAATTCTCCGAGTTGTGTGCAATGAAAGAAATCAGCATTATTCAATTTTGACTGTTCTATTTTGAGTATTTTAGTCAGTGAGTCGCACCAATAAACACTGAGTGCTGTTAACGTCTTGGGCACTGTAATAGTTTCGAGTGTCTCGCACCGGACTAACGACAGAGATGCTAATCCGATTGTTTCCAAGTTGAGAAGTGTCTTAATAGGTGTTGATCTGATTTCCAAATACGTCAAAGAAGATGGTAAGAACAGTGATTGAATCGTCGAGCAACTATCCACAACAAGACAACTAGCGCAGATCTTATCCAAATTTGCTAATAACAAATTTGAGCAACTTTTCAGTATTAACGTTTTTAAAGAGATTGGGAGGATAATCGACACCGTTTCTGTGAATGCCGTCGACGAGAAAGTGATTTCCTCCAATGAAATTGCCTTAAATAAATTGATATCGATTTTCGGTAATGGAAATAATAAGAACCCAAAACAGCTCATCTTCTTCAGATAAAACTTTTCAGAGATGTTCAGAAACATAGGCTGCTGGAGCACCTCCGAGTTGAACGATAAACTGTTTGGCCCGTCATACAGTGGCGGGACAATTAAGTGCACTAACGACTCTTTCAAGTCGTTTGACTGACAACAGAAGGTTAAGTACTTCTCTTTGACTGATTGGACGTAACTGATGTACTCCTCGTGTAACTCGAATATCTTAATGATCACCGTCGCCTTCTGCCAAGGGTATTTCTGGATCAAAGTAACAACTTTCTTCACTTCGGAGCCATTACACTCGATCACTAATTGATGGAAGAACTGAAACACTTGTAAACACTCGAATATGCCCGACATGTACTCGTCGAAGAACATCATCTCTGAATTGCCATTCATGTCAATCCGAAGTGTCTTTAATCGTTCCATCTTCTTGATGGGAAGTTGAAGGTCTAAATCGACGTAAAAGGAGAACTCGGTGATCTTCGGAGCGATTTCGAGTAAATTGGGTATGGTGTAAATCACCTTCCCGTAGATCGCATAACACGAGATCTTGTTCATCTGATACTCCTTCAATTTCTCAACCATTTCAAGATCACATAGAAAGGTCTCAATGCCCATAAAGTACTTCACTTCTTTGCGAAGAGACTCGATACGTATTTTGGTCGAAGGCTCCTTCTTCGAATAAAACGGATTCATTTTAAGACGTTTCGTCGCGGAGTAACACCGACGCGAGACAAAGACAAACTTCTGGACGTCTGAGAGGGAATTGAAATATGGTATCACATTCATAAGATATACAGTCTCTAAGTGCGGAGTCGTCGCTTTGATCTTTTCAAAACACGGAGAAGCAATTTGTGGGATCGGAGAGTGCGTGTGAACTAAACTATCCTTTCGAAATAATTTCATGAATTACCAGTTAGTCCGTTTCATTCTTCAATTCTGAAACAAATTATATTTTATAATAAAATTACTATATTTTTAAAATTTGTTTTTTTTGCATAAATAAGAAATGAAGGATGGTAAGGTCGAATATATACCACTTCTGTGAAGCTTTTTCTTTACAAGTTGAAATGTCAAAAATGTTATTAAATGCTTTGTTATAAAGAAGTGATTTTAAACAATGTGAGATTATTATTAAAAATGATTGTGTTTTATAATGGAATTCAACAGTATTTAATTAACAATAAAATAAGTTTCTAATAAAATAATACAAATAACAAACTTAACAGAATCTATTTCTGATTATTTTATACATATTAATTATATTTATTTAATATATTATATTTCAATTATATATATCATCTAAATAAAGATTGTTTTAATAACCAGAAATTAACGACATTATTATTAAACATTATCTGTTTTATTTTTGATAACTTATATTTTGTATGTATAAGTTATTTAGTTGAAATAATTGTGTATTGATTATTAATTATCGTTTTATATTCCATTTATTGATTTATTAAAATTTTTTAATTAAATTTATAATAATAAATTATGATTATTATAATCAAGTTTTTTATAATTAATTATATGAAAATCATTAAATGTTTCTAGTGGTTTATATAGTTCAATTTTATTAATAAAATATAATATTTTTTATTTATTAAAAAAATAATCGAAAAAATTTTATCGTTATAAAATAAAATGAAAGAACAATAAAATAAAAATAGTTTTTTAACTTAAATAAACGTATGAAATTAAGTGTCAAGACTCAAACCTTTGTTTTTAAAGTCCTATAAAAACTAATATACTTAAACAATATTAAAATGGCAAAAGAAGAAGAAATCATCGACATTGAAGACATATTTGTCAGGTATGACATTGTCAAAGAGTCTGAAAATGAACTTCCATACAAAGAAGTTGACTTTTCAAGACAAGCCAATAAGACTAAATGGGTTGTTACGGAAAAAATTCATGGCTCAAACTTTTCCTTGTATTACACAGGAAAGTCGTGGCGAGTTGCTAAAAGAAATTCATTGTTAACTGAAGAGGAGATGATGACCTTTTTTGGTTGTTCTGAAGTGATTCCAAAGATTCTTCAAAGTGCTCCGATGTTATTAACTTTGATTAAACAACACAATCCACATGCTGTCGCCTTTGTGATTTATGGTGAGCTTTGTGGTGGTAATAAAAACTTTCCAGGAAGTCAACCAGGTGAATCTCCCGATGTTCCTGTCCAAGTTGGTATTTTATATTCTCCAAAAATAGAATTTATACCTTTTGATATGGATGTTATTATTAAAGAAGGTTCTATATATAAGCATGAAGCTTTAGACTTCGATTTATTCATTGAATTTACTGAAAAGTCTAAAATAGGCCACGTTCCTGTTATAAAAGTGTGTGATACTGTTGATGAGGCTCTCTCCATTAATTTAACTTTTGATTCCCTTGTCCCCAAGCAACTTGGGTATACAACTATAGTCAAAGGGACTAACCAAGCCGAGGGAGTTGTAATTAAACCATATCCAAAGATGGTGCATGGAACAAAATCAGTTCGAGAGTCTTTCAAGAGGAAACACCCGAAGTTCAAAGAGATAGAAGACTTCGAATTACCACGACAAAACAGTGATTATGTTGTTGCCGAGGCTAATATACTTGCTCGAATCACGAAAGCTCGACTACAATCATTTGTGAGTAAAAATGGAGTAAAAGAAGACTTGGAAGTCGTTCAACGTGAAGTGCTCGATGACGTGTTACTAAGTTGTTCAAGACAACACATTCTAACTTACAATTGGTGGTTTAACCAAGGTGGAAATGGTCAATCAGAACAAGCCAAAAGGATACAACAGAGGGCTTATTTCAAAATAGCTGAGTTATATAAAACAGTATTAGAAGAACAAAAAATAAACTAGTTATTCTTATTTGTATTTTTACTTTACAAGTTGTACATAACAGTAACAGACAGACAACTTTGAGGTTTAGAACTTAAAATTAAAATGAATAAAATCCATATGTTATGTACATACAAAAGTCGTTAATTCATTACCAAGGTTGTTTCATTCAGATGATACTCAATTGAATGAAACTGAAGGAACGACATATTTAGTACATATTACAGTCCCATCTTGTGATCCAGAGAAGAGAATATCATCATTAAGACTTAAAGAATCGATGGGTGTGTTGTGGTTATAAAGACACTTCATGTTTCCAAACCAGCCTTTTTCAAACCGACAAAACTTCACTGTCTTGTTAACGCCACCAGTCACCAATTTTCTATTGTAACACATTATCGTGTTAATTGGACCAATGTGGATGCGACGATCACAACAAAAGTTGTCAGCTCGAATGTCCCACATCCGGACACATCCTTTTGCTGTTCCAGACAGTATGTAATTATCAAAGTGATCAAAAGCAGTCACTCCACATAAATGGTTCTGTGTGCGAAACACGACGTCATTTGTTCGCTTGTCATAACCAGCACAAGTCCCATCCAAAGAGGAAGTTAAGACTAAGTTATTGTCAATCATTTTCAATGATGTGATTTCAATGGAATGTGGCGAAAATGTGAGAACTTCAGAACACACGTTTAAGTCGTACATTGCAATGTTGGTCTTATTTTCGAGCCCTACCACCACTGAATTATTTGAAAAGGCCACTCTGTCATAATTTTTGTACTTGAATGATTCATATTGAAATGACTGTGTTGTGTACTTCCTCATTTCACCAGAGCGGAAATAGACAAATAAATCATTTGTGAAGTCTTTAGAACACTTCATACCAGCAATTGGCTGAAGAGGCAAACACTCTCTTTCAGTTTTGGCAGTGTCTTTTATCACAACACAACTGAAATACCCCCTTTCACTCCCCACCACAATACAGTCACTCTCTTTAAACATTATATAATTAATTGAAGAGTAAAACGGAGAAACGACAACACGTTTGTAATGCAGAGAATGTTGCCAGGCTTTTGTTTTGTTATACTTTGTAATTACATTTTTGTAGTCGATTTTCTTTGGGGTGGCATTTGTTAAATTATGTGTTAATGATATAAAGTGGATATAATTAAAATTGGACCATATTGAGTTTGAGGTTTTCAATATTGCGTGAAATCTTTATGTTAAACAATATTTTTTATTATTTGAATAATAAAGTAATGACCACACAAACCTAGAACACGTTAACATCGTTGAAATGACATCTTCCAAACACAGGTACTCAAATACCATTAACAGTAATTTGTCACTTAACTCTTCTAAATAACACTTTTGATACTTTAAATATACAGTATTCCTTTTCTTGTTAATTAATTAGCCTTTATGTAATTTAATAGTACTCTGAAGCTTCACTGAAAGTGCAAGGAGTGTCTGGGTACTCAACAATGTATCATCAAAACATGGTGGTACATACAAAGGTACATTATAATATATTGAGTATCTTGTTATCAGTTTTTCAGTTATTAAATTGGTCATGCATCTATTTCGTTTGTTCTCCTCCATCCCGACGAAAGCTGGTGTGAAATAGTGATAATAAAAGTACGACTGAATTTCATCATTCACAAAAGAAAATTTCTCGGCACATAAGACAACAAAGAAGATGTTCTTATCATTAGAATGTGGATGTGTACACCCACACATCTTTTGTGTAACATTCTGACATCCGTAAAACGCATTTCCTTCTGTTACTGTCGTTCCAATAATAAAGTCGACCTCATTATTTGGATTATTAAAACATGTGAATGGAGCATGAAAATATAGTAGTTTCTTCCCTTTTTTAATAATTGTACTTCCTGGAAAAATATTCCACTATTGACTCGATTATGAAGGGAATTCACTAAGACCGATGCTTTATCTCGTATCTTATTGGAACCTCTTACTACAACTTCACTGAAATCACAATTCACGTATACGTCGAACTTTGAGTTCTTCTGATACAAAATAGGGAAGGTGGGAATGTAATACATAGACACATATAACTGCTTCTCCATATTCAAAATATTTTCAGCCTCTTTATCCCCAGACATATGGTTGTATATATTGGTGAGGAGTTTGTTGTGGATACAATAAAAGTATGTGAAGTATTCTTTGACTTGAGGTATAGCCTTTGAGTGTCCCTCAATAACTATATCACACCCTTTTGATGTCTTTGTGATGTAGAAGATCTCATCATCAGAGTTATTCATTTTGTCTGAATTGAAAAAACATAAAGAACACTCGTCTTGAGTAGTTACACAACAATGCTCTATAACAATTTTTTGACAGTAATCCGGTTCAAGTGCAAAAACAACAGCACTAAAGGTGTGGTCATCTATTTGTAATATGTTTGTAAAATTTGGAAACATTTCCAAGACTTTTCTGTATTGATGAAATAAGTTGGATACAAATATATAGTTTAAGCTTGTTTCAGTAACAGAACGTACAATTAATTCATTATCTTCTGTTTGCATGGCATATGTGTCAACTACTATTTCGGTTGTGTCTAATTCTTTCTCTATCTTCTCCCACTTTGGATTACTTAATGGAACTGTCTTGATGGAATTCACTTTAAACCATCACCGTTTTTCTAAATCACTCAAGACAGGATTTGTTGAGGGTTTTTAAATTTCATTTGTCATTTTCGATGGACTCGTGGACGGAGATGACTTCATCTCTTTAGAGTTATTGTAATTTCATTTTTTTATTTACAGTCAGTTTCAAATTAATTTAAAAATGTTCAACAAATAAATATGATTGTACCAAATAAAATAAAAATATTATCAAAATAAATTTAAAGTGTTTCACAAAAAAACAAAAATGTATTTTTTTTTCAAATGTCTCATAATTAATTATTATTGTTTCAAATAAAATTAACAAAAATATGAAAATTATAACTTAAATAATTGGCAAATGTTATAACTTCTAAATATATTTAACAAAATAAATGAATATATAAACACACGTTTAAACTTTATAATCAATATGAGTGACTCTATCGAATATGTGCCTAAGTCTGAAATTGCATTATTCAAACAACCTTTTATAGGACCTTTATGTAAACCTCCAAACACTCCCCCAAACGTTTCTCCGGTTACTGAAAGTACACTTTTAGAACAACAAATCAATTATCATCCTCAATTATCTTCTCGAATGGAAGAAGACACTAAAAAACACCGAAAAAGATGTTACAATACTCTCACGGATGAACAAATTTCATATCTTAGAGAGTTGTATGAAGAAAATGGATTGTCTCAATCCGTTGATTGGTATGTAAATAAAACCAAAATACCAACAGAAAGAGTGAAATTTTATCTAAAAAAAACTGAAAGATGGAAGCGATATAACAAAGAAGAAGAAAGGAAGAAAACCAAAATATACAGACGACATGTTGAAAGAGGTAACTTCGCTTCTTTGTCAACAAAATATGTCTTTGAGGCAAGCCAAAAAGGCCTTGGCAGAAAAAATTACGAGATTTCTGTATCTTCATTAGACAGGTACATAACCAATGAAAAATTGATGAAAAATGTCAAACTAGATCCTCTGTCATTTACAAAAGTGTCAATACGAAGAAAAGTTGCCAACACATTAGAAAATAAAGAACTACGTGTCAACAGATTGTTAGAGTTGAAAAGTTGTCAAAAAGCCGGATTTGCTGTAGTGTTTGTTGATGAATCTCATTGGAAATTGGGTAATGTAAGAACAAAACATTGGGGTTTAAAAGGGCAAAAACATTTTAGAATTTCTCCCCTGTCGACATTCAATATTAGTTGTATATGTTCGATTGCAGAAAGTGGAGACAAATTTTGCAGGGTGTTTAACCAAGTCGTTGATGGAGATATATTTTCTGCTGGATTTAAATTGCTTGTTGAACATTATATCTGTTTGCTTGGAAATGTCGTTTTTGTATTGGATAACGCTGCCGTACATCAAAAAGAAATCATCAAGATTGCAGAAAATAGAGGCTGCAGAGTTCTTTTTAATGCTCCATATTCTCCAGAGTGCAATCCGATTGAAAACATATTTGGTATATGGAAAACTAGAGTTGGTAAACTCGAGAACAATGGTTTAAAAGAACTGTTAAAAAATATTGGAGATTGTTTTGAAAGTATCGAAAAGTTTGATGTCAGAAAAGTTATTGGTAATTTTTTCAACGAAACAGCCGAAAAAGTGATGAAAAGAAACGATTTATAGCTAAATGTTTATTATTTTTGTTAATTTTATTTGAAACAAAAAATGTCAATTTTGAAACAATTTTAATTCAAATTTGTACAAAAAGAATTTTATTTGAAACAATAATAATTAATTATGAGACATTTGAAAAAAAAATACATTTTTGTTTTTTTGTGAAACACTTTAAATTTATTTTGATAATATTTTTATTTTATTTGGTACAATCATATTTATTTGTTGAACATTTTTAAATTAATTTGAAACTGACTGTAAAAATAATTAAATCTAAAGAATCAAATGTAACTTCATAATTTATTTATAAAAATAATTATTAATAATTTATTAAACTATTTCTTATTAATAAATATACTTAATTTAAATAAAAAACAACTCAAATGGAATTGGGTTTTTTTCGTTGTTTTTTTTATTAATTTTTTGATTGTAATTATTTATAACTTAAAAAACTAAATCTTATTCTAATTTTTAAAAAGAGATTTTTTTATCAAATTTTTATCAAAATTTTATCAAAAAAAGACGGGACCTACATTGACCACCACCACCTTTACCAAAAAAAATATTTGCCGCGAGTGTTTTTCGAAGGAAGTCCATTTTTCAGCCACTGTTTGTGCGTCCCCATGTCACCCACTTTCCTTGTCCGTACTGTGTGGACGCGGATGTGGTTCCCCCCCCCCCCCGCTTGCGGGGGGGTCAGGGGGGATCCGCGCCAAGGGAGGACTTGGAAAGTGGGTGAAACGGTGCACAAACAGACTGTTTGAGTGCGTCTTTATGAGCCTTCTTTTCAATGCTCCGTCTCACTCGGTTTCCACTAACTCGATGTGAATTTTCGGCATTTTTTGAATTCGGGAACCAGACCTAATATTATCCCAGTTTCCTATTTACTATAATTTTAATTTGAATATGATTCGAAATAGAAAAAATAAATCTATTTTAAGAGGTGGTGGTGGTGGTCAATGTAGGTCCCAAAAAAGACAGTTAAAAAATTTAGCGAAAACATTTCTTATATTTCAAGTTTTATTCTATTATAATATATATAAATAATATCATATAATTTTCACCATAAACATATTTTTTTATTCTAACAATAATAGAATTAAATTAGTAAAATTATTAATACAGTTATATTTAATGAATATTATTAACAAACAATAGTTTAATTATGATACAATAGAGTACTAAACCCAACCAAGTAAACACACACAATTATAAACAACGAAGTACAATAACCTTATTGCACACGCACTTATCGTTCATGTTCATAAGTAATGGATTGAGAGTTGCGCAAGGCATCAAGAAGTTATTTCTGATGTCAGGGTAAAATGAAATGCAGCCGTTTTTGTCGATCCAGAATGCATTAACGCATCCAAAGACGGAGTTACTTGTTTCTGGGTATAAACACAAACACGGCTTTTTAGCGCCTCTTCTTGGGAAGACAAAAGGAGATGGCATGTTGTTTCTTTGACAGAACAAAAATGAACTTTCAGAGTTTACAGTGAGTTGTGTAGTCTTAGAAGCAATAGGAACTAAGTCTCTTTGATAGAAGCCAAAAGTCTGAGTGTCTGTGATAACTAAGAAGACCAACTCATCTTTACATGTAATCATACTTTGGAAGACTCTCGGATCAAAGTCTGACATATCACTGTTATATATAGCTTCCATCTTGTCACACATAGTCTTTGCTATTAAGAAAGAGACTAAAACGTTATCAGTAACACCTTTGTCCATACAAGCAAGTTGACTATTTTGTCTGTGAAGCTTCTCACACTTCTTTTCTTTCTTTTTCGACTCTTTGATATCAGTGGAGTGGCAGAGTCTTTCCGTCTTATGAAACTTCTTAGTGAAATTGGCAGAGTGCGAAGTCTTCAGTTTCGCCTCGCGCTTAAATATCTCGAGATCAAGATCGTCTTCTTTGTCGGACTTTGGAGACTGTGTTTTTGGAGTCGAAAAGAGGGGAGAGACATGCGTTTTGTTAACAATAAAGGTTGTCCTGACCACGGGAGACTCGTCAAAGTTGATAACACCGGTACGTGTGCGGACTGGACTATTTGAATTGCTGTTTCCCATGTAATATGATTAGTAGTGAAGATTTCGCTTTATATTTTTAATTTGAACTTAATTGACACCCTTCTTGTTTTTAATATTTTTCATTTGACTTTTTGATAAGATTTTGGTCTTAGTTAATTGTGCTTTTTTTTCATACACCGTTGTGGCAAAGTATTTATCAATTTAACTGTTATTGACTCTAACTTGCAGATCAAAATGGATGGTTGAACACTGGCACCCCAAAACTGTGTTTCTCAATAAATTAATGGCACTTTCGATGATTTGGTATTAACTGGGTTTTATATGTAAAAAAGCGTGTAAGTTGGTATTTAAACTTAATGAAGCGGGTAGTCGGCTATTATTATTCGCTCTTTTTCCTTCGAATATTTTTAAAAAGACGAGTCTCATTCTGCTTGTCTTTTAAAACATGTGTCTTGTTGGTTAATAAAAACCGTCTTATGAATAACAAAAAAGAGAATACAAAATTGGATAGTGACTCATATTCGATAATGCCGAATCTTTTAAATAATATTTTTATTGAACAAAGTCGTAAATAATAGTTGGGCAAAGTGTTATTGATTGGAAAAATAACATAATAAATAAAAACTTAGTATTAAAAAAGAAGTGATTTTATTATATTTGATCAAAACGGGTATTGTTTTAAAATTTTGCTAATTAAAAGATCGATGAAGCTACGTTCTAAAAACTCTCAACAAAGACCAAAAGCAAAACAAAATGGCTTATAAAATATCAACCCTTTATGATGTAATGATCTAATTCGGGTGGGAAGTTTAAATTTATTGAATCATTATTAATAAAAAATCAACAAAAAGGCGGGAAGAGTAACTAAATGTGAATAAAATGATATGTAGAACGTATGAGACACGACAAGAATAGGCAAAAAAATAAAAAAATTGTTATTAATAAAACAAACTATTTTAACATTCGAATAAAAATTGGTTTAAAAATAAAAAAAAAGAAATGTGTAGTATAATATAGTTTGAATTATTATATAATATAGTACGGGGTTGCGATAGGATATTTTTAAAAAAACAATTAACCTCCATAAATAAATATTATTCATTTTTTGACCCTTTAATTTATAGACATAAAACGTGCTAAATAACGGGAATGTGCGTGTTTTTATTTAACTAAAAAAACAATAATAATCATATTATAAATACCAACTATACATAATAATTAAAATATTATATAAATATGGTTATAATTTATTTTTTGGTTATCTCTAATGAATGTTGCCAACTGTTTTTTTGACATTTCATCCTTTAACGGACGTTTTTTTTGTTGTTTTGAGATGTTTTTGTAGTTTTTATAATTGTAATAAAATTTTACTACGGTATAATTTGTATATAATTTATTAAACTATAATAATATAATTTCATTCTGTATGTATGATTTTTATGTGTCTTTTTAAACGGGTTTGGATTTAAGCAAATTGTGAGTAGACTTGAATATAGCTGGGAACTTTCGTTTTCGTTTCGCTGCTATCAAAGTTGGACGCGTGTTATCTTGTTTGGTTCGAAAGGCGCTTTTTGTGAATGGTTTTGGCGTAACGAATAATATAATCACCGCGACATTACTTTTGGATTTCGCCAATCATTCTGTTTGGTTGTCATGTTTTAATTGGTTTTAAATAAAAATAATTATTTTATTAAAAAATGTACTACTCTTATTATTTAATTAATTAAATAATGATAATACTGTATATTTATTGCAATTTTTTTTATCTCAAACCACTTATAACAATTTAATTAACAAA